GAAGAAAGATTTTAACCACGAACAGGTAAAGCAAAATGATCCCGTAACAGCATCAGCTCTAGTAAGTCTTGAGAATTCAGGTAAGAGTGTTCCGAACTGTAATTTTTGTGAAAAGAAACATTTTAGTGAAAAATGTTACTCTGCAAAAAAAAAAAATGACTTTAGCTGAAAAACAACAATTGTTGTTGAAAAAAGGTGCTTGTTTTCTTTGTCTGAAAAGAGCGAGTCACATTAGTAAATTTTGTCCTTTCAAAGGTAAGTTAAGTTGTTCTATTTGCAAAAGTTGTAATCATTTTGATGTAATGTGTAATCAAAAGCTAAAAAATAATGATCAGATAAATGTTTCAAAAGAGAGTTCTCTTTCTAACTGTGGCAGAAGCGAAACTGTATTTTTGCAAACGCTTTGCGTTCGAATTCGGTGTCAAGGTCGCGAGAAAATTATTCGCTGCATAATTGATAGCGGAAGCCAAAGTAGCTACGTTAGTGAAAATATGATGAGTCAGCTTAAAGCATCTCCACTTCGGGAGGAGACAGTTATACATGCACTGTTTGGGGGGGGGACGAAACGAAACCTAAACAACATGAAGTGTTTTCGGTCGAGGTCAGCAATTTAAAAGGAACATTCGCATGTAGTTTTGAGGCATTATCGGAAAAAAGATTTGCGGTTTTATTCCTAAGGTTAAGGATAAAGAGATTTTGAATGAATTAAAAAAAAAAGGAAATCGAATTTTCTGATCCATTGCGAAAGGAAATTGAAATTAACCTTTTAATCGGAGCAGATGTTATAGGAAAATTATTGACGGGAAATTCTATTGAATTACAGTCCGGGGTAACGGCTGTCGAAACGAAACTTGGGTGGACGGTATTTGGAAAACGAAATTCGGGTGAAAAGGATAATATTTTGAAAACATTTTCAATGCATGTCAGGAGAATTCCTCTGAATGAGTTATGGGAACTTGAAAAAATAGGAATATGCGCTCCAAACGAAACTGTTAAAATGAATGAAAGTTTTAATTTATCTGAATTTGAGAACAAAATGAAAATTCTTCCAGATGGAAGATATGAAGTAGAACTTCCGTGGAAATGTGATACGACACATTTAACCGATAATAAAGAATTATCCTGGAAAAGGTATCAAAAGATGATCTATAAACTCAGATGTAGTAAATTTTTCGATGATTATCAAAATGTGTTCAAGGAATGGGAAAGGTTGAATATTATTGAACGCGTACCAGAAACCGAACTGAATAATGAATGTCATTATTTGCCGCATAGGCCTGTAATCAAATTAGGAAGTGAAACCACGAAAATTCGTCCTGTTTTTGACGCTTCTGCATCTGAGAAAGGGAAACTCTCTTTGAACGAATGTTTGTGTAAAGGAATAAATCTTATTGAATTAATACCTGATATTATAGATCGTTTTAGAATGTATCCGATTGGTATTAGTGCCGATATTGAAAAGGCTTTTTTAATGTTATCCGTCGCATCTAAAGATAGAGATTTTCTCAGATTTTTTTTCCCATGCAATGAAGGGCAATTAATTTATAGGCATTGCAGAGTTGTGTTTGGAGTTTCTTCGAGCCCCTACTTGTTGAACGCATCTATAATGCATCTATTAGAAAACTGTCCACGTCAATATAGTGAAGTTGCTCAAAAATTAAAATCGTCATTTTATGTGGATAATTGTTTATCTAGTGTTTTTAGTATTGATGAACAGTTTACTTTTATTGAACATTCCAAATTAATCATGTCAAATGGATGTTTTAACTTGCGCGGTTTTGAAAGCAATGTGGCTGGTACAAATGTTGACAAACATTCAGGGGATACTTCCGTTTTGGGGGTAATTTGGAATTTGGAATTTGGATAATGATACGCTGAGGTGCTGCACAGATACAGATACATTGACCTGTGATACGAAAATCACAAAGAGGACAATTTTGGCAATTGTGCAGACAATTTTTGATCCTATTGGTTTATTAACGCCAACTACATTGCTTCCAAAACTGTTGTTGCAAAAATTGTGGAAAGTGAAAATTGCATGGGATGATGAATTGTCTCCGAATGATGTAAATATATTTTTGAACTGGTTTAAAGAACTTAATGTTTTGAAAGATGTTACTTTGCCTCGATACTTGTTTATCAATGACACGTCTGAACTACATGTATTTGTGGATGCTTGCAAGGGGGCGTATGCAGCGTGCGTCTTTGTTCGATCAATATTTAATTCTGAAGTAAAAATAAATATCTCGTACGGGCGAAGTCTAGAGTATCGCCTTTGAAATCTTTAAGCATTCCTCGCTTAGAATTAATGGCCTGTTGTATAGGTTCTAGACTTGCAAATTCTATTATCAAGGCTCTCAGTTTGCCCGATTTAAAAGTTACCTTCTGGTCTGATTCAACCACTGCCCTTTGGTGGATAACAGAGCAAGGAAATTGGTCCGTTTTCGTCGAAAATAGGGTTAAAGAGATTCGAGAGTTGACGCGAGGTCATTCATGGAGACATGTCCCAGGGAAACTAAATATTGCCGACTTGTTATCGCGCGGATGTTTTGCGAAGCAAATGCTTCGGTCTAGATGGTGGGAAGGCCCCTTGTGGTTGCGAGAAGGCCCTGAAAACTGGCCCACTGGTGAGATTATTTGTTTGCATGAAGAAATAGAATTGGAGAGGAAAAAGATAAAAATAGTGAATATTGATCTATCAAAAGACGCACCCCCTTGGCATCGAATCGATGTATCCAATTATGACAAAATGATTAGAATATTTGCATGGATATTTAGATTTGTAAATAATTGTAAAGGTGGTTCTGAAAAGAATGGAAACATTGAACTTTCACAGTATGAAATTGAAAATTCTGAGAAAAATTTAATTCGTTTGGTTCAAAATTATTATCTGACTGATAAGAAATATTATAATTTTATTGAAACGCTCATTGATGATGATGGTATTCTAAGAGTTAAAACGAGAATACTAAATAGAGATGACTATGAATCTTTTCTGTATCCAATACTGTTACCAGAAAAATGTGATTTCACTAAGTTATTAATCAGAAATGTGCATAATAAGAACTGTCATGCTGGTCTTCAGATGATGCAATGCATATTACGAGAAAGATTTTGGATAGTCAGAGCTAGAAAGGCCATTAAAAATGTCCTCTTTAACTGTATCGTTTGTAAAAGATTTAAAACTAAGGCTATGTCAAGCGAACCGACACCTCTGCCGCCAGACCGAGTTTACGGATTGTGCGCCATTTGAAATCATAGGGATTGATTTGGCCGGACCGCTGTTTTTAAAAAATGGAGGAAAGGTGTGGATCGCGCTGTTCACCTGCGCTGTGTACCGTGCCATTCACCTTGAACTCGTAAATTCTCTTTCTACTGATGCGTTTCTCCTGGCGCTTCGACGATTTGTTGCTAGGCGCGGACGCCCTAGAATAATCTATAGTGATAACGGGACAAATTTTCGGGGTGCATCTAATGATTTATCAAAACTAAATTGGGCTAAAGTATTAAAGGAAACAGGAAACTGAAAGGATAATCTGGAAATTTATTCCACCTACTGCAGCTTGGTGGGGTGGCTGGTGGGAGAGGTTGGTTCGTACAGTAAAAGAATTGCTGAAACGTACTTTAGGTAAATCAGTGTTATCATATGAAGAACTTTATACTATTATTTGTGATTGTGAAACTATAATTAATTCTAGACCCTTAACTATATGTTTCTGAAGATCCGCAAGAATTAGTACCTCTGACACCCGCCATGTTTCTTATCGAGAACAGAAATTCCAATGTTGAAGATCTTGATGAATTAAATTCGTCAAGTCTTAATAAGAGATTAAAGTATAGAACTAAATTGTTAAATGATCTGAGACAACGATTTAGAAAAGAATACCTTAGTCAACTGGTTCAAAAGCATAATGAAAAACGATCTCGGGAACCTGTAGTAGGAGAAATAGTACTGATGGGGAATGATAACAGAAAACGTTTATTTTGGCCTTTAGCCCGAATTACAGAATTGATCTCTGGACGTGATGGAAAGATTCGTACGGTTAAACTTAAGACCCGGCATGGAATAGTTATACGACCAATACAACGCATCTTTCCTCTGGACATACAGTCCAATGATAGAAACATAATTCCTGATAAGAAACTGGGTGCAGAAGAATCTAATTCTAGTGCTGGGTGTACGTTAAAAAAGGGAATTGCACCTGATAAAATGGTGATGCAACAATATTCCTCCTCTGGACGACTTGTAAAAGCTCCAAAAAGACTTGATCTTTTAAATAATGTTTGTTATGAGTTTGAGACTCAACCTGAGTCTCAATGGGTGGAGGATGTTGTGAAATGAACTGAAGTAATAACCGGTGCGAGGCGCTGCTGTTTGTGATGTCAGCCTGCGTGCTGAGAGTTTCGAATGTTTTGCTTGTAGACAAACGAAAGCTGATCTCGGAAGAGTGATACTGTTTTGATGGAAATAAAGAATGACTTATTAAGAATTTTTTGTCTTTATTCATAATGCACCCAGCCTCGGGTAGAGGCAGGCCCGCAATTGAACGAACTGTTTTAAATATATTTGATTTATATATTTTCTGTGTTCTGTGTAAGTGCAAAGAACATGATATTTAATAAATAAAGGTAACACACAAAACGTTAAAAAGGCGCCCCTTTGGACGTAATTTAAAATCTGATACCTTTCAGATGGAAAAAAAAAAAAAAAAATTGTTTAAATTTTTATCTTGTACTTCCGTTTTAATAATTCGATATGTCTTTGTAATTTCCTGACTGGCAACGTTGCGTCTCATTTTCCAAGTTTCGCGGCACTTTCGGATTTCCCGAAATATCAGCTGATCGAAAGGGTCTTTTTTAGAATTTTTATATTGAATACTAACTAGTTATAACTTTTCTCAAACCGTAGATGGAAATATAAATTTCCATACAATACTCGAATGTAATTACATATTCTCTGATCATATGCATAATTCGGTTTTTCTTTTTTTCCTTTTTAGTCTACTTCAGGATCACTTTCACTATTACAAATCTTCCGCATGATCCGGAATTAAGTCGACAAAACTCTCCAAAATTTACAAGAGTTGCTGAAGACTTAGTATTAGGTCTTGAAGCTCTATACAGAACAATACCAGGACAACAAGCTGTTACTGTATTGTCTTTCAGGTGAGAAAATTCAGAATGCACTTTCTGCATTATTTATAAAAGATAAATGCATTTAAAACATATTATCGAGTACTAATGTTTCATTTTTGAATGTTTAAATACTATGTAAACTGTGGGCCATTTTAGGGTATACATTTCATTTAAGGGTGTATGGTTTAATTTGACAACTGTTAGCGACAATATTCCTAGCTCAATATGAAAGCAACTTACTGTATTGTAATGATTTTTGCATCAAAATGTGCAAATTTGTGATCAGCATACTTTTATTTGGCCTGTGAAAAAACTTGTATTTAATATTATTTCTTAGTGAATAATATAATATTTATTTTCATAGCAGTAATATGAAACAATAATATACTTTTTTAATTATTTAATGAAACATATTTCTACCATATTTTTTCCAGTCTTACTTTTGAAATATGTGGCAAGATTGAAAATGGCATTAATTAAGAGCATTAAATGCTTTATAATTTTAAGTTATATTCATCAGATTAGTATGGTATTATTATAGTACAATTTATGTAAAGATTCCCCCCCTTAAGTCTTAAATATTTTTAACTTTATTCAGTTTAAAGCTTTAATGATCATATTATGCATTATTAGTTTTTAATCAGCTTTTAAGTGAGAAATTTTATGAAGCAAAAATTAATTTGGTACTACTATGGTAGACGGTTGCATGGATTTTTGGCGATTTACGCTGGCGCAATTTTTACAATCGTCAGCCATCTTGAAAAACGCTGTTTTTACACATAGTAAAGTATTCGAAACTTGGGGGAAAAAAAAAAAAAAAATATCGTTAAAAATAATGGATTAATTTTTTGTTGAAAATGTCGTTTTTTAAGATGGCAGGCAAGTGTAAATAAATACATTTACTATGAGTATAAAATACTAAAGTTAAGTTATTATTACTTTCATATAGCAAAGAAGAGAATAAAAACATCACTATAAAAACATTGTGCCAACTTTTAATTAGATTAAAATATTACTGAAATTGAATATCAAATTAAAAACCATCATACCAACATTTAAAAGAATTAGAATATTATTAAATTCAAATACTTTAAAATACGCTGCATAGAATATAATTAACATTAAAACATATGTGACAATAATTATCTCAGCAATTTTTGAAAATAGTGCATTAATTTTTTTAACAAAAATTGAAATATACAATTATATAATTACAGAAAAATATGTACTTACATTTTTTGAGTCATTTAACCTGTCATTTATTTATTGATAAGTACCACAAAAAAAAATTGGAATCATAATTTAGATATCAATGAAAAAAATTTGAAAAAAATGTAATATCAGGGGCAAGAATAAAAAAATTAAAAAAATATATATGTATATATGTATATATATATATATAGATAAAACAATTTAGAGCCAAATTAATGGATCATGAAAATTAAAAACAAAAAAATTTTGGGGGGGGGGAACCCTACAATAATAGATGTTGACTTTTTTAATAATAGATGTTTTTAAGATTTCGAAGATCCGTTAACCGCCCCTCCCTGAAGTACAAAGACAATTTTTTGATTCCGATACCAATAATTCTTGGTACTTGCCAATAACAACATTCATCTTTTGGGGAATTCGAAGATATGAATTAAATTTTAAAATGGCGCGGTAATGCACAAATTTTCAGTATCCAATCAGGGAGCTGATTACAGCTTGTTAATGCACAAATATTCTATAAACAATCAGAGAGCTGATGACATCACACCTAGAATTAAAATTATTTAAATAGTCATACATAATAAAATCATTTTTAAAAAAAATTCAAAATTAAATTGTATTTTAATATTTAAGAGCCATAAATAATGTTTAAACATTAGATTAAATTTATAGATATTAAAACTAATTACTTTTAAAGTTAGGTGACGTAATTGATTACATCATCCACAACATAAAATTGCATAAAATATCATAAACAATAAAATTTTTATTTCAAATAAAAATGCAAAATTAAATTGATTTTTAATATTTAAAAGCCATAAATAATATTTAAAACACGAAATTTATGCATAATAAAACCCATTATTTTTTAAATAAAATGACAACAGAGTGTCAGTTACAATAAATAACTTATCCAGCAATGGGTTTACCATAAGTCATATTACTCGCCAAAAAATCGCCAAAATCCGTGCAACCATCTACCAAAGTAGCACCATTAATTTTATTATTTATTATATATCAGTACTCATTTTCTTTATTAATGCATTTTTAAATATGCATATATAATCTAATAATATTTAAAATAAGAAATGTGTTTTATCTATGAAAAATATTTGAACATAAATTAACCAAAATAGTTTCATGACTGACTGTGTATACAAACAAACAAAACAAAGAAAAGGTTGTTATCTTAGGATTCAGTACATAATTGACATGAGTTAAATCTGATATAGTGAGCAATGGATTATGTCTTCCCTCAACTTTTAGACTTAGTCATTGTTGAACTTAAAATGGTTGAATATATATACAATAGGCACCGCTTAATGCAATCACATTTATCCAAACAATAACAACAAGTAACCAGAAAAATATCCTTCAAAATATCAATGATTAATTTAGTATTAATTTAGTATAAATATAAACATATAAATACTTACCTACATAGTATTTTAATTATGAAGAAAAATCATTACTCTTTTATTGTCTTCAAATATTACTCTAAAGTTTATTTGTTAATGTTCATATTCTTAATGTCTGGAAATTATTTAACTCATACTGTATCCCTAATCTTCATACTCATAAAGCATCCTTCCTTTCAGTGTTTGCAGGAAATTCACCAATTTTATCATTATCATCTACAGAAAGTTTACCTTCTTTCCAAAAGCAGCAGCTGGCAGGTAGCATTGATGCTGCAATGAGTTTTTTCATTAATATCCACTTAAGTTTTAAATGCTTTACCACTCATATTAGCTGGGAATATTGTCTTTAGTTCTTCAACTTTCTCTATTTCATGATTTATTAAAAGGTTACCTTAAAATGTCTTTTTTCAAGATGCTGTTTTAGGATATGTTCAGCAAATGCAGCACATCAAGAAAGTGGATTTTTCCTACTGATTCATTTCTAGTTATATATGTATCATCTGTGCTGTAAAGGACTCTTTAACACTCATTTCATGGTGATAATATTATTTCACAATTCTAATAAGTCCTTCGTCACATGGCTGAATTATGTCTATAGTATTTAATGGTGATACACTGAGGTAACTTGTATAGGCGTACATATATAAATAACAGAGATACACCGAGGAGCCAAACAAACTGGTATAGGCATATGTATAATAAGTAAGAGAGGTACAGAACCACTCACTGTGAAGCGTGATATTTGGCAGCACCTATGTAAGACAATAAATATCTCTTAAAGTTGTTAGATCAGTTACTGGTGCTACAATGGCAGGTTATCAAGATTTAAGTGAGTTTGAACGTCGTGTTATAGTCAGTGTAGGAGAGGTGGTACATAGCCTCTCCGAAGTAGTGATAAAATTTGGATTTTTGCATATGATCATTTCACAAGTGTACCGTGAATATCGGAAATTTGGTAAAACATCAAATCTTCGATATTGCTGCGGCCATAAAAAGCCCGTGAAAGATCGAACCAATGACATCTGACGAGAATCATTAACTATGACAAACATGCAACTTTTTCAAATTGCTACAGATTTCAGTGCTGGGGCATCAGCAAGTGCCAGTATGTGAACTATTCAATGGATCATCATTAATATGTCTTTTGGAGCTGAAGGCCCACTCGTGTACCATTGTTAACCTGTTCCGGACAGCAGCCCACGGAAGATAGCGCTCCCTCAGGACGGGAGCTGTTACACGTGGACTGTGCTTACAGGCCGGGGCATTTCTCCCACTAAGCCTAATATGCAGTTTCGGAACGTACACATTATATAATAATGGATGAAATGTACACTTTACGTAGAAATGAAACCATTTTTAAATATGTGATTAAAGATCACATATTATCATAATTTCAATCATAACAAAAAATTAAATTAATTGATATTAAACAGTAAAAATATAAATATATTGTATTTCACTATAACTAAAAGTACCTAAATTAAACACTAAATGTTGATACAAAATATTAAAAAAATTTTAAATATTTATGTGTAACATTATGAAATACTTGAAGAATATTGTAATAATTAATATTTCAAAGCTGTATGAAAAATCTCAAAGCAAGGATCAGTACAGAGACCGACATTGCATTATTATCAAGGATAATTTCAATCATATATGTCTTTTATTATCATCTTCTAATTCAGAATTTGAAGATTCAGAACTACTATGTGAAGAACTCCAATAATTTATAGTTGTTTCATTGTCATCATTGGAAAGATCCATAGTTTGATCATTCATAACTTTAGATATTTTCTTCTCAGAAAGATAACGTGGTCTTTTAATCATGGCTACACAAATGAATCTAAAAGTAAAATCCATGCTTGAATATCTCCCATAAAATCCCATCCTAAAATAGAATCAAAACTATAAACAACCACTTCAAAATGAGCTAAAAGCCCATGTATTTATGTTACCCTTTTCACCCACTAGCGTGCTAGTGTTTGTATTTACATTCACGAAAATCCAATAAATCACAGACACTTGATGACCTCAGAGAGAGAAATACTAATGTATAAGAGCAATCTTTTTAATGGAACATGGATTAGTAATGCTATCTGTTAGTAAATATTTAGTTTCAAAAGCATGATGCAACTGTGCTGCAATCATCCCACTGTGTAGGATTCGCCATAACTCAAGGATGCGGTATTAGGCTGTGAAGGGCATCTAGGGCTGATGCATATTTGCGGCATTCATCCCGAACGGGTTAACTGAATGACGTAAAGCTTTACACTTCGCCTGGGCTAACCAACGCTGCTGTTGGACTGTTGATGACTCAAAAACATTGCCTAATCTGATGAGTCTTATTTCCAATTGTATTTGGCGGATGGGCATGTACGAGCATGAAGACAACCTCAT